ATAAGTCTGTAGGACAGTCTGATGCAGAGTTATGAGCTCACAAAGTTTGATCCCATGTTAAGTCAATGAGAGTCTTTTGTAATGGAAGTCTACGGGACAGTTGCTAGGGTGCAGTATGTGGTAGTTAGGGGTGTGGCTACAAAGTTAAAAGCTCATCAGTTATTGGCAGATTGGTATTCGGAGTTAAATGAGCTCAGCCATTAGTCTGTAGGATAGTCTGTTTCAGAGTTATTAGCTCACAAAGTTTGATCCCATGTAAAGTCAATGAGAGTCTTCGTAATGGAAGTCTATGGGACCGTTGCTAGGGTGCAGTATGTGGTAGTTTGGGGTGTGGCTAGAAAGTTAAAAGCTCATCAGTTATTGGCAGTTTGGTATTCGGAGTTAAATGAGCTCAGCCATTAGTCTGTAGGATAGTCTGATTCAGAGTTATGAGCTCACAAAGTTTGATCCCATGTTAAGTCAATGAGAGTCTATTGAATGGAAGTCTATGGGACAGTTACTAGGGTCCAAAAGTGGTTGCTAGGGCGTGGCTAGAAAGTTTAAAGGTGATCAGTCATTGGCAGTTTGATAGTCTGAGTTAAATGAGCCCAATTAGAAGTCTGTGCAACAGTCTGACGCAGAGTTATGAGGTCACAAAGTTTGATCCAATGTTAAGTCTATGGGATTTTTCCGACAGTCCCGGGACGTTTTTCGGAAAACCGAAAGTCGGATCAGTCGGAAAAGATATAGCATAAAGAGTCAGACCAGTTTGGAGGTCTGGTGTGAGTTTGGTGGTAATAGTTTGAAAGTTCAAGGAGCAGATAGATTTTGAATTTTAGTCTCAGAAGAAGAATAATAATAATAATAATAAGTTTAAATAGCATAACAGTAGGTTGGCTTTGACAAGCCAGCCTAATAATAAGTTTAGAAAGGATAACAGTAGTCTGGCTTTGACAAGCCAGCCTAATTATTTAAGTGAAAATAATTTAGGGCAGTCCTATTTATTTTATTTAGATTATTCTGCTCTTCTGTGCTAAACACTGTAGGTGCGTGAAGATGCTCTGTTGTTCTGTTCCGCTATTAATATATAAAAATAAATCAGTATTTTAAAATGCAATATTTAATGTGTCATACACAAAATAGACACATCAATTTGTTTAATATAAAATTAATAGTAATCTGACCAGTTAATCGTTAATAACCGATTAATGAGCGGCGGTTGTCGGTTAGCAAAATTAACTAAATGAGCATCCCTAGCTATTTAATTTACTTTTTCTTTGTAAGAGAACTTGATTGAAAAATAATTTTCAACATGCTTGAACCATCTAAACAATGGAGTTTAGTTCTGTTTGGTTTTTCAACAGTATTTTGTTACAAAGAAAACAGAAGTGATCTTTGGCTATTTATTTATTTTATATATGGCTATTTATATTGTTAATAATTTGCATAGTTAATATTGTTCTTTGATGTTTAGTTTATAAAGATTTTTCAAATGTTATTTAATTAAAAATAGTTTTAAAAATCTTTTTTTTCCCCACCCCACACGAAAAAAATAAAATAAAAAATCGTGATACGAATCGAATCCTGGGTCAAAAATCGTGATACGAACCGAATCGTGGGTTTGGTGTATCGTTACAGCCCTAGGATCTGTACTTTTACTCCACTACTTTCCTTCAACCTGCTGTCACTACTATATTTTTTCTTGTCTATGGGGATTAGAAAAATCAGTCCTGTGATTTCTGTGCAATCAAATCGCACCGTCAAGGTAAATCGCTTCATAATTAACTACCTTAAGACATGGGTGATTTAAAATTGCAGCAAACTGTTTGGAAGCATTGTGTCCAAAAGAAGATGTTTAAAATCTTTACACGCATTGACCCAGAGACTGTTTAGATCAGGGGTCACCAAAGTTGTTCCTGGAGGGCCGGTGTCCTGCAGATTTTAGCTCCAACCCTAATCAAACACACCTGAACAAGCTAATCAAGGTCTTACTAGGTATACTTGAAACACCCAGGCAGGTGTGTTAAGGCAAGTTGGAGCTAAACCTTGGAGGGACACCGGCCCTCCAGGACCGAGATTGGTGACCCCTGGTTTAGATCATACCTGTCAACCCGCCCGTTTTTCTCAGGATTCTCCAAACCGCAAAGAGCCGCCTCTTGCTCTTAAATGTGAGTCTGTTTTGTGCTTTCACTTTGTTTAGGCACGAAAACATTTTTAAATAAACCTAAAAATGGCGCGATTCCTCTTCCTTTTCATTACAAGTGTCGTCTCTCGTTCATATGCAATCCTTAAAACAGTCATATAGAGGTGCATGACTGTCAGCTGACGCGCTCCATATTAATATATTTGTTTGTTTCACAAACGGATTCTGTACTCATGATTTGAAGCGCAGCAAAAGTCTGGGGATTGGGTGCGTGTTTAAACAGACATATACACATAATTAATAACATTAATATCTAAAGATGTTGATCTTGGTGAATTTTTAATTTTTTTTGTCCAAACACAAGTAATTTCTTCCTAAATGAGCATAAACAGTTAGGAAAGCAGTCAAATGCTTTCATTTCAACGTTAGACGTATGCATATTTAAAGTGACACCTGTTAATTAATGTAATGTAATCAACAAAAAAAATCTAAATAAATCATTCATTCGTTGCTCTTTAATCAGAATGTGTATTTTATACAGTGAGGAAACGGATAATGAGATTTGATTCTATTTCATTATAATAGCTATTAATTTTAATAAGCTGAAGTGTTTGCTAATTTGTTGCTGATGTTCACTATTTATTTTTTTTTTGTAAATAATAATAATAATAGAACATATTACTGACAATTTAACTGTTTATTTACAATGAAACAGCTCCAAATAAGCATATTTAGTAATTTAAGGCTTTTTATAGGGGGTCGGGGGAATCCCTTATTATGGTGGGCATATCCCTTATTTTCACATACCAATGTTGACAGGTATGGTTTAGATGCATGTCACTGATGACAAGATTACGGATGTTTACTGTATTATGGACTGAAATGGCCTTAAACACCCAGCAGGCACATGACGTCAACATGACGTCATATTGATGTTGTTTCCCAATGTCGATGGGGACATTGCATTTTGTTTGGAGATGAAAATCGAGTTGTCGTCAGAACCCAACGTCAGGCCAACGGCAATGTCCAACATCCAACCTAAAATCAACGCCTAATGATGTTACAGCTTGACCTTGTTTGTTATATCAGACGTTGGAGATTTGTTGCTATACCTGATGAATAAATGTCAGTATTTGACGTCAATATGACGTTGGTTTAAGGTGTTGGCTCAGCGTTGGATTTTAGTCACTTACTAACACAGCCTAAAATCAACTAAATAACACCATCATTTGACGTCGTTATTGAACATAAAAAAATATAATTGTCCTTAGTCTCTGGTTAGACATTGATTTTGGTCACCTGACATCTAAAATCTAACCTTATATTAAAGTCTTATGATGTTGTGTGCCTACCAGGCAATAACTAAATGCACTAGAGAATGTTACGTTTACACATATCTACAAATTACATATAAATGCATTAGCTTTTCACAGCATAATACTCACTACTCTTGAGTACTTTTGAAAGGTTTTATTACATATAAATGCATTAGCTTTTCACAGCATAATACTCACTACTCTTGAGTACTTTTGAAAGGTCTACTTTTTACTAGTACTTTGTAATATTTCCAACAGATACTTTAATCTACTTGCACTACATTTTAGGCAAGTAATAGTACTTTTACTTAAGTATGATTTTTCAGCACTCTTTTTACCTCTATCTAAGATTGAGTAGAGGAAAGAAAAGCCAACAGTTTGTAGGTAGGAAAACACTAACACTTTGTCAAAATAACCACAAAAGTTTTATGAGAACATGCTAGAAGACCCTCTAATCGTTGAATGCAACATAAAAATCAACAAAAAGTTGATTTTTTTTTTTTTGCAATTCTGCTACATTCTTAATTTAAACGCAAATTAATAGCAAAAAATTTAAATAATCTCATAAATAATCTCATTAAACATCAAACTCCCAAGAATTTTTTCAGTTTGCCATTAATTGTTTTACATGATTTACAGACGTTGCATACGCAGTGCACTTGATGTATTTGAGTGTCTCTCGCCTTTCGAAAAATATCGTCTCGCCTACGCCCTCAATTTCCTAACATTACATGGAAGTTGGAGGAAGAAGCAGGTGCAAGAAACAGACGTGGATGAAGCACTAGAAATTTTCATGTGAAGTCAACGCAAAAATGCGCATTCTGTGGCGCAAATCGAGTGAATAGCATAGCGTGAATTAGCTGTTTTCTATGTTTGACACGCTTCAGACTGCTAATAAAAGTGGGAGCAAACATCTAGTTAACGGAGTAGTGGAACAGACAGAAAAGCAAGCAGCTTACAATCATGGAGATTGGTTTAAGGATGACAGCTGCTGGACTTGACTGAATTGAAGGACATTATTTGCTTTACATGACGAGAGAAAACGCTTCCCTGCTATTGATGAGTTTGACGACAATCTGTGTTTTAGGTGTATTACAGTAGAGGAAGCCCTAACTCGTGTCATCTCAAGTGAAGTACATGTCAGATGATTCAGAGAGTGGAATCTGAAAAAGAGAAAGCAAAATCGTCGATAAAAATAAGAGTTATACAACCTTCCTTTGGCTTAATCTCTACCGTTTAAGATCGTGTCTAGACAAAAGACCAAGATAATGAAGCTTTATTTTTATGATTTATGTCATTGTGCCTAACATAGTAGGCTACCTAATATGGTAAATAAGATATCTTAAATAAATATCCATTTTTTAATCGCTAAATTGTCTGCAAATTGTCATTTTTAGCAAAAAATATTTGTTTTTAATACAGAATGATTTCTATTCCTTGCCATGCCTTTCCCATTGCATTCTGGGATTGACCTGTCCACAAAGAACGCCTACCGTGCTGTTTTCCTCTCTTTATAGCATCCATTGTGCGTACTAAAAAAACAAATTCCTCATTTTTCACAGAAACTCGTATTGACCAATAATCAGCTGACAACTTTGCCGAGAGGAATCGGTCACCTGACCAACCTGACGTACCTGGGCTTGGGAGAGAACCTGCTGCAGCACCTTCCCGAGGAGATCGGTACGGTCCTCATAAACACACTGCACCACACACAAGCTACAGCCAGCTCACTTTTCTCTCTTCACCTCACAGGCACATTGGAGAATCTGGAGGACCTGTACCTGAATGACAACCCCAACCTGCACAGTCTGCCATTCGAGCTGGCGCTGTGCAGCAAACTGTCCATCATGAGCATAGAGAACTGCCCGCTCAGCCACCTGCCGCCACAGATCGTCGCCGGAGGCCCTTCCTTCATCATCCAGTTCCTCAAGATGCAGGGCCCCTACCGCGCCATGGTCTGAGACGCTCGCACACTGTACAGAGGAAACCGATTTCGGCGTTAGCTTCACGTCATTATATCTAGAACAACAAAACAAAACTGCGTGACTGGGAGGAATCGTAGCCAGTTATAGGTCCCAGTAGAAAACAACGTCTAGACATCTGTTGCCAAAATTAATGTACATTAGTGATTCCGAAGAGGCGCTCGCAAAATTTGTCAATCATTTTTGCCAATTTATTGAAAGTCGTTAGGGGTTTCGATGCCAGGAAACAGTTGTATGCAAAAACAACATTTTTACACGTTCATTTTTGCTGCTGCTGCTGCCGCCATACTGTATGTGAGTTGTTTTTTTATTTCATTTAGCCAGAGATTCTCTCGTTTTTTTATCATCCCACAACCAAAAGATTTTTATTGTACAGAGGACCTGTTTGGAAGCAGTGAACAAAATTTTAGTGTTTTTATTAATTTGATTTATTTTCATTGTTGTCGTCGTTTTAGAATTGTGCCTATCCAGTGCAGTTGGGTGGTTTGTGACTGAACATAATTATCCAAGAGGATTTTAATACAAAAGGATACATTTACGAAAGTATAATTTATAAAGTAATTCCTTTTTCAGTTATGAATTATTATAATTTTTTAAAAAATATTCATTCCTGTTCGCTTTTGGGACGTGTTGTCACGCTTGATGTTTTAACATTTTATTTCTGCGATATAGTGAAGCAACAGAAGAATCAAACTTTTTTTTTTTTTATGAACGCAATCACGTCGAGCTTAAGGGAGGAGGTGGTGGGGGTTGTGAGTGTTTACTTGTTTGCCATATCCACAGTGTTGCGCTCTGCTTGTGTCCTATCGGTGAGAATTTGCATCTACGTATCAGGTGCTTGATCAGTGCTAGCGGTTTAAGGCCCACGTTTACTGTGAGGAATGCCAAACGCCCATTCAACATCAGTTTAGTTTTATTATTCCACATTTGAAGGATCTCCTTGTTAGTTTCAAACTTAAGCCCCATGATTTACACTCATAGGATATCAACCAATGGTTACAGGATTATTTGCACCATTTTTATTTCCACACACCGCCCCTCTTATGCTGCTGCTTTTAATGCACTTTGTATTGATATTTGGCATCCTCTCATGTAAAAGGGTCGCAATTTTTTTTTTTCATGTTACCGATTTAACGTATGGATGGGGCATTTATTATTATTATTATTTCTGAAGTATTTTATCTTTATTTTAATTCTCTATCATGTATATTTTATAACGATGACTGAAACTAATTTGCCTTCGCAAATTCGAACGTTAACATTCTACTATTATTTCTTGATTTTTATTTTTTCTTCCAAGGCTTTGATGCTATTAAATGTTTTGATTTAAACTACTGTCTCACTAGTTTTGTTTCTGTATATTTAAAAAAAAATTCATATCAGTTTCAAATGGTGCAGATCAAGTATTGCGATTTAATAAGACTTTTTGTGTTTTGATCACCCAAACTTGCAATTTTTTAGTTTTGAGCGCTGCACGACAAGCAGAAACAGTATATGTAGTAGCCACTAAAGAGCTGATCCCAATGTCGGCACGATTTGGTCATCCCAAGTAGACTTTTTCTGATCCCACACCCTCTCTCCAAAACGCTGCTTTCTGTCCAGCAAAAAAAAAAAAAAATTTTAAACTTGTTCCCTTCAGAAACACGTCAGTACATTTTAGTAATTATTATTTTAAGTGATGTTTTGCAAACTAATTTCGAGAAGATCATATGATATGATTGACCGCAGCTGATCCCTATCACTAATCGTTAGCCAGCCAATTGGATTATTTCGAATTTAACATAAATATCCAGGTTAATTTTATTACCTATCTTCGTTTTGGAAGAGCAAGAAGGTCACTGATTTAAGTCCTAGCTGAGCCAGTCGGCACTTCTGTGCGGAGTTTACATGTTTTTTTCCGTGTTTGTGTGGGTTTCCCCCGGGTACTCCGATTTCCTCCCACAGTCTAAAATCAAACGACACAAGTAAATTAAATAATAGTAACAATCACAATCACTTAATGTGTACGCAATGATGTGGTTGGCGGTTTGTTCCTAAAGAGACCTCTTATTAGTCAAGGTTTAGGCTAAACGAATCGCAGGAGCTCTCGAGAAGTACCTGATCTCCTACCCCTCTTAATGCTCATTGACCAGGCGGGAGCCTTGGGCATGTCTATCTCCGAGCTCACGGTTTTTCTCCCGGGACAGCATGCCAAACCTGCTAACAACGTCAAGCATTATCTTAAGTGTAAACTCGTTAAGTACAATTAAGTACATTCTTTTAAGCTTTACATACTTTAGGTTCATCAGGACAATACGTTTCACTTATTTTCTCTATTGTTTTAAGTAGGGCTGCACGATTTTGTAAAAATTATATTGTGATATGTTATTTTTTGATGAGTAATATTTCACGAGATGGTTTGAATAGCTCTATTTGATGGTTTTCTGGGGAGTCTTAACAGTATTCAGGTACACAAATTGAATGATCACAATGCAAAAAAATGCTTCGCTTTACTTTGCTTTGTCTTGTTTTTATTCCAAATATCCTTAAAAGTCTTAGACCACGTAAAAATATTATTTAGTTTTCACTGTAAGAAGAAATTCAAGAGTTTACACTTAGCCCTAGCTTTCAGCTTGTAAGATTCTCGTACCCTGGGCTCCCTCCCATTAGCAGGGCAAGAGGGGAGTTTGAGCTCAGGTAGATCTCGATGTACTCCCCCGACTTATTTCTGGCTGAAGGCAGATATAAGATGACTAAGGAGATATACGGCTTGCTAAGAGCTTGACTATAATGCCAATTTGGTATGTTCAATTTAGTTAGGTTGCGTGTTTTTTGGACTTGGATGAGAACCAGTGGAAAAACAACATGAGTACGGGGAGAATGAGCAAACTCCTCACAGACATGCCAACTGGTTTAGTAGGGACTTTAACCAGAGACATTTTTTTATTGTGAGACAACAATGCTAATCACTGACCTGCCTTGTAGGTACTGAGATAAGAAACTGGTTATTTATATTTGTTGAATCAGCGTTATCTAATGAGGGACCAGCTGTGAACAATCATAAGCATGTGATCCTCTCGAAATGAGTTTATAAATAAACTTCACTAAGTGAAAATTAAGAGTTTTTTTGCCAGCGTGGCAAGTTAAATAATTTAGTTTTCGCTTTAAAATGTAGCTATTTGGGTTAGAAAAATAGCAAAAAATTTAAGTAAGAAATGTTTTTTTGCATAAATCATAAACATTTTGTAAAAAAATACAGTGAATAAATTCAATTCAGTAGCTCCTGGTGAACTAAAACTATTCAGACTGGGCATAGCATGTCTTTGCGATGTGACTATTTGCGGATGCGCACATTGCGATACCGATGCTGAAACTATATAGATCATATCAATGTGGTCATGTTATTGGCCCATGAACATGTCCATCTTGTTATCAAACTATTTCATAACTAACAAAAGGCAATTCAATCATTGTTTTAGTTTACATCCGTCAAAATGGTCTATATTGTGCAGCCCTAGTTTTAAAGATGTAAAGCACAATTTACTCATTCGTTTTTAGTACATTGTTAGCTTGATTTACTAATTCGTAAAATTAGATTTCCTTGTATTCTATACATTGTATGCAAAAAAATTTTTTACGCATTCCTTCATTTTCAGCACTTTCTCATTTGTTTCAAGTACATTTTGGGCATGATTTACTAACTTGTCATTTCAATTTACTGAAAGATTTCTGTAAACAGTACAGCCAATTTATTTTATTCTACCACCACATGTCTTAGGACTGTTGGCGAAACCGAAGCACCCAGTGAAAACCCAATGCAAACATGGGGAAAACATGCAAACTCTACTACCAGTAACCTTGCTGTGGGGCGACAGTGCTAACCACTGAGCCTCCATGCCGCACTATTTTTAAGTCAAATTATAATATGTGGCTGCAATATAAATACATATTTTGCTTGTTATGTGCAGGCCCCATTTTTATTTTTATTTTACATATATCAAGTGACTGTAAATTTCCATTTTCACTTTAGTCTCATCAAGCCAAATGTATTTAGTTTTGTGTCTAGTCCACGCTATTTTATTTTATTTTTCATCTTCGTTCCCTCACTCTATCCTTTTATTGGTAAAGACGTTTTGTAAATTGGCAGCAGTGTAAAGGCTTCGGAGAGGCCCTTCGCATTCATGGGGCCATGAAAAAAAGACACAAATCGCTGCTTTTTTTTATCAACCAGCAGAACCTGTTGCTGCTTTATGGACCTCCTAGAAATGTAATGCTGTACAAGAACCGGCTCAGATGAGATGTTACGGACTGTTTTTTTGTTTTGGGCCGGTTCGACCAGCACAGACGTTCTGCTTCAGATGAAATCCCTGTTCGGCCCATACAGTGCATATCTTGCACCAGATGCAGACTCTGAATATAAACAAACAAACTAAAAGAAGACAAAAATACAAACATTGTAAAAAGGGCTTTCTCTGTTCATGCTTAAATATACACCAGAGGCATTGCATTCCTGGTTTTGTATAAAAGCTTAGAACTGTACATTTGAGTTTTCTTTTGTGTGCGTGCGTGCGTGCGAGTGTGTGTGAGAGAATAGTTAGATGTTAACAAAATGGAATTATTATGTGACAATAAATGCCTTTGAGTACTTCAAGTGAGACGTGCATTAGGGACATCGTCCCATTTAAGGTGTTTTTTGTTTTTTTTTATGAATTATTTGCAGCATTTATGTGCCATTTGTATGCAGAGCGAGGCTGGTCTTACCGTGCTCAGCATATATAAGTACACCCCTAGCATATCTCTTTCTTAAATTCATTCAATAACATATTTGTGCATATGCACTAGATTAGTCAGTCGGGTCGTCGCAATACCATTAATTCATCTTATGATACTACAGTAGTTGAAGTATCACGATACCTAGTATTGCAATACAGTAATACATTACTCAAATTATAAAGAAAATTGTCTGAAGTACTATATTTTACATGGTATAATAGATCTTAAATTTAATTCTTAATTCCCTTATTTAAAAACGTATTATTTGCACGTCAATACCTAAAATGTATTCATTTTTTTTGTATTTTGTAGATAACTGATCAACAAAAAATACATCTGCATAAATATACAAATTATCCCAAATGAAATTGTTACAAAAGGAGCATTTTTCCAACAAAATTAGGCTATATCAAGTGATGAAAATTTGTTTTTTGTTGCTATTTAGGGTTTTTCCATCTATTTTAATTTTTTTTCAGTCCTATCAGGTAACAACAGTTATTCAAAATTTCACTTTGTGAGTTGCTCTTTTTTTAAGAGATTGTCACAGTTGTTTTAGCTACTAAATCATATTGAGCTGAACAGAAATGAACCGATTCAAGTGTGCGTTTGACTTGTCAGAGAACATCAGAAAATGTGCAACCTTAAAGGGCTCTACACACTATTCAAATAAAATGGTCTTAAGGCCCGTGTGCACTGGGATGCTTTTTGCTTGCGTTTTCCGTCGATGTTTAACGCCTTGTGACTAAATAAAGATAGCCAATGTCATGGTGCAACCAACGTGCAAAATGCCAGGCCTAAAAGTGTAATTTTTTTTTTTTTTTAAAGAAACGCCTCATGCTCACGTCACATCAAAACCTTCTCCACCAATCAGATAGACACTTTTGTTCATGTGCATGGAGCTGCTGAAGTTACAGTTAACAGCACTTAAAGGTGCTAAATAAAGCACTGTCAATGCGAGCGCACATTGAAGAAGATGCCCAGGAGCGAAATGAACGTTCAGCTGCTTATTGCACTGGTGAACAATAATCATAATCGCTGGAGCTGCTCCTTGAACCATTCATGCTTGTTCGAATCGCCAGTAACTTTAACAACAAGCGTGTCAACTTTCTGTCTTCTTCCGTGTTACATGTGGGTGTCAGAAGCTTAAAGTTGTGTAGCGCCATGGAGTGATTTTGCATACTCTTCTGCTCAACACCAGTGAAAATCGCTTTTGTTTGAATCCGGAAAAACGTCTCGAAAAACGTTAACAATAAACGCAAATGAAAAGCATCCCGGTGTGTACAAGTCTTAACTTTGCACAAACGTGTGAGCATTTTAGTGACTTTTCCACATGCAACATTGTCTATTGCAAATAGACTGTTAAGGACGACACTACTGTTTACAAGCTACAGTTTTTTTGGAGCCATGGTATCGCGATACTACCATAGTACCGGGAAATTTTGTTGACATGAAAAAAAGAAGTGCCGTGCGCTTTTTTTATGTCGCTTGGCTACAACTGAATCAGCTGGGTATTGTGCGCGAGTGTTGCTGTTGATATTAATATAATAGTAAAATTTTGTAATATTGTGATATTCAAGATTTGTGAAGTCGTACAGCTCTGGATAACTCAAAACAGCAATCGCAAGTCTCTCCTCCATCTTCAAAAGTCTTCGTTGTTTTCTTGACATCACAAACACTGCATTTTATTGGAGAATGAAAAAGACTCAACTGACGTAACACGCTTTTCCTGCTCAGATTTTTTTTTTCAACTGCGAGCGCACTGCGTGCAAGGGCAAAAACAAGTGGGGGTGCATAAGCAATGCACAAAACGCTCACTGCCGTCAGTAAATCAATTTAAAAAAGGATCCTCAACACAAAAAGCGCGTTCGGTGTTATCGTCCCTTTAGTCAGCCAAACTAGAGCTTATATAACAAAACAAATTAAGATAACAGTCCAAAAACTAGTACACCCAAATGTATATGTTGTAGAAAAATATTAAAAAGGGGGAAAAATTAAGAGAAGCAAAAAAGAAAAATTTAGTTGAAATTTTGCTGGTTGTCATTTATTTTAGCAATATTTTGCTTAAATTTAATTGAAATATTTTTATTTCTATATATGTTTGCCTACTTAAATATTATTGTAATAAACATCTGTTTAATAAATCTGTTTTGTTTAAATGCACTAAAATAATTGCCTGTATTCACTGAGAAATGGATCAAAATATTCATTTTCAAAATGTAAAATGGGGTGTACTCTATTATGCTGAGCACTGTAGGTAAACGGATGATTGGTTTTGGATGATGATGCATCACAAATCAGGAATGTAGTCAAAAAAAAGACAATAAAAAGGTTATAATTGTACTTTTTTGATGGGCCGCAGTTATAATCAAGCCGAGGTGGCAGTTTTCATTTTGATCTTGTATTGTTCTTGTGAATCTTTCCGATTGGAGCTTAAGGGTATGGTTTATTTTTTATATTGTCTGTGCATTTAGGTCATAGAAATTGTATAAATGAAGTTCATTTTCCATGTTTTTTTTTTTTTTCTTAAACATAGAAATGTTCTACATTTACTGCTATTTTTGTTTCTCTTGCCTTGCTATGTATAGGAAACAAGCATGTTGATTTTCTTTTGTTTGACTTATTTTTTATGATTCATAAATGTATGGTTTGGTGGACAGGGATGTAAAAACAAAAGTACAGACATGTTGCTCTTTCATATCTTCATGTTTTCTTTCTTTTCATTTACACTTCATAGGATATCAAGTGTTGTGCAGACATGTCTAACGTATTTTTCTCTTGAAACAAAAAAGAAAAAAAAAACAAGCCTTAAAGGTGACTCTCTTGATTTCTCTTTCTTTCTGAATCAGCCCGAACAAGAAACAGGACCCTCTTCCATCAGATCAAATCTTTGCTTTGATAAGCATTCTTCAAATAAATGTTCATTTGACTGCCTTACGAATGTCAAATGTGCTCCTCTCTCAATCTCATTCACTTCAAACGACTCACTCACTCACTCACGATCTTTTAGCTTATCCCTTATTTATTAGGGTTGCCACAGCGGAATGAACTGCCAATTACTCTGACATATGTTTTATGTAGCATTTGCCCTTCCATCTGCAACAAATGATTCAAATCTAGATTAATGATCCAGTCAAGACATTTAAATAAACAATTCAGATTAATTAATTGGGTAATTCAGAGTATAAACTGTCAAAGCTCACTTGGTGTTTTTCTGTCTCTATCATAGTTTAAATCTATCTTCCCATTTATCTATCCATCCATCCGTATATCTATCTGTCTGTCTCTCCATCCATCCATCCATCCATCCATCCATCCATCCATCCGTATATCTATCTATCTATCTATCTATCTATCTATCTATCTATCTATCTATCTATCTATCTATCTATCTATCTATCTATCTATCTATCTATCTATCTATCTCTGTCTGTCTGTCTGTCTGTCTATCTATCTATCTATCTCTCTCTGTCTGTCTGTCTGTCTGTCTGTCTGTCTATCTATCTATCTATCTATCTATCTATCTATCTATCTATCTATCTATATGTGTCCGTCCATCCATCCATCCGTATATCTATCTATCTATCTTTCTATCTATCTATCAGTCTGTCTATCTATCTATCTATCTATCTATCTATCTATCTATCTATCTATCTATCTATCTATCTATCTATCTATCTATCTATCTGTGTCCGTCCATCCATCCATCCGTATATCTTTCTATCTGTCTGTCCGTCTGTCTGTCTATCTATCCGTATATATCTATCTGTGTCTATCCATCCATCCATCCATCCGTATATCTATCTGTAAATCTATCTATCTGTCCGTCCATCCATCCATCCATCTATCAGTCTGTCTATCTATCTATCCGTCTATCTATCTATCTATCTATCTATCTATCCATCTATCCATCTATCCATCTATCCATCTATCCATCTGTCTATCTGTCTGTCTGTCTGTCTGTCTGTCCATTCTTTTGACCTTATATTCATCTTTTTTTCAATCTGTCTGTCTTCCATATTTAGGTTGCTTTTTTAGCACTGCTGCTGGTTATTTGCTGCACCAGTACATGACCAGCTTAAACCAGCAGCCTCAACCTACCTCACCAGCGAATGCTTTTTTTCTGCTTGGTGTTCGCACTGCTACCTGTTTATATATGTCTATTTACATGCATCTTTATTCATTTATCTATGTGCCATGAAAATCTCATAAACATAACATTATTATCTAACCGCATAAATGATTTGTAGACAGATTTCTTTTTCTCTGTGTAAACATTTTAATTGTCTAACTGGTAGTGTAGTTAAATCATCTGAAATTGTACTGCATGTATGTAAAGTACTATTGATGTGGTCGAAAATATACTCAGCTGTAATATAGACAAGTAATGAACACTTTAATGAAGCTTAGATATAAACTATTTTGTAGCATTTGTGTTCACAACAGTTTTTCCCTCTCTTACTTGCAGATAATTATATTGGTTGAGTGTATGTCCGGTAGGTGTCGCTGTTTCATCGCTGCTCGCTCTCGTGCGCGTCTCCCTGAAAGAGTCAGCGCGCGCTTTTCTTGCATTGTTTACCTATTTACTCATTCGTCTCTTAGCCTGCTAACGTTACTTGAAAAAAAAAAAAACACTTTGGAGTGATATTTTCGGATATTAGTAGAGTTCCCACGGTCACAGAAAGCTTGGAACTGTGAGGGAATTGTAAAATGTTTGGTTTCTAGCTTTTAGAAACGTCTTGGAAATCACTGAGTGAAATTTGTCTGCTCAAAATGTTGCATCAGGTAAGTATTCGTGTACTGTTTAGGGTAAAATTCTCTTGAGTGTGTCAACTGCCTATATTTATTCAATAATCATAAACTATCATTATAAACAAATTCATTTGTGTAACTATAGATAAAAACGAAACGCTTAGACTAGTTATGTTGTCTTCTCCAAGTAAAAGATAGAGCAAATAAACGTTTTTATTGGTTTAAACCACTCAGAAACATACAAAAAGTTATTTATTTATTAATTTTTTGGCGTTTTTACAGAGCCTCTCAAGGCTGCTGCTTAGCAACGTCAATCGGAGGCTGGAGTTAAGAGAAAGTGGGCGTGGCTCAGAATAGTCATTATTATAATTTCCTGTGCGCGTCTCCCACAACACACACACACACACTCCAGCGCGCTCACGGCAAGCTAAAGTGATCACGCCTCTATTAGCTGTGCGCGCTCACGGCAGATCCTGCGCGCGCACAGCCGAGTCGAGCGCTGATGATGATGATGCGCGGTCTTCACACGCTCCATCGACGAGATGCGAGAGATTAACCATGCAGTTTTTCTCATGCTGAGCGACTTTAAACAGAGAAGTTGCACTCCGAGGGACGTTTCTTAGATGCCTTAATAAGTTTGTGGAAAGCTTCAGGCTTATTTCATTAAGGTAAGGTACATCCCTGTCTTACTTTTTTTTTGGTTGTGTAATTTTGTGGTGTTTTATATAAGAGTGAGAAACAAATGTATAGTTTTACCATAATTATTTAAATGTTTGAAATTAGTGTAATTGTTTTGTTTAATTACAATCAATTGCTTGTAAAATAAAACTTTGCATCTGTATGTTGTGTGTACTGTGTATGTTATGTATAAACTTGATAAAAACATGTTTATATATAATGCAAAATATATGTTAATACATTTGTTTAATATATATTTAAAATTTTTACTTGTTTATTATTGTTGTAGCCTATATATACACAATAAACATACAGTACACATTTCATCTATTTTCATCTAATAATACATTTTCCAATTTCTTTTTAGATGTCAGAATGATTAGAATCGTCTCTGTTTGTCAGTAATATGGAAAAAGTGAAGTGTCATCAACCAAAAACATAATTTCACTCGTGTGGAGAAGAGACTGTAACTGTCAGCTATGATTTGTGGGGCCAATGCAACCAATGGGACCAATGCAACAAAGGAGTACACCCTGCTGGTGGCCCTACCACTGAGCGTTGCAGTGGGGCTCCTCATCCTCCTCATCATCTTCGGCAATGTCCTGGTGATCATCGCCGTGTTCACGAGCCGAGCACTCCGGGCTCCCCAGAACCTCTTTCTGGTCTCGCTGGCCTCAGCTGACATACTGGTGGCCACTCTGGTGATGCCGTTCTCATTGGCGAATGAGCTGATGGGTATGTGGACGTTTGGGGGAGTTTGGTGTGAAATCTACCTGGCCTTGGACGTTCTTTTCTGCACAGCTTCAATTACTCACCTGTGCGCCATCAGTCTGGACAGGTACTGGTCAATTACGCAAGCCATCGAGTACAACCTGAAGCGAACACCGCAACGTATTAAGCGTATCATTTTTATCGTTTGGATCATCGCCGCCGTGATCTCCTGCCCCCCTCTTATAACAATGAAGAAATCTGAGGGGGATATCTGTGACATCAATAAGGAAAAATGGTACATAGTCTCATCTTGCATTGGCTCGTTTTTCCTGCCTTGCATCATCATGGTCCTCGTCTACATCCGGATCTATCAAATTGCCAAGAAGAGAACTAGAGCACCTCCTGGGGACCACAGGAAAAACGAAGTGGGAAAGAAGGAAAACGACCCGCATGAGAAGCTCAATGGAATTCAGAATGCAGAACCGGACGACAAGGATGAAATAAATGGTGTGGACATGGAGGAATCCTCCTCCTCAGACCACAAGGTCTCCAATCCTTGCTCCCTCAAGAAGAAAAGCTCAAAAGGAAAGACCAAGTTGAGCCAAATCAAACCAGGCGATGGAGACAAAACCGAGGCCTGCCAGACTACCAAAGCAAGCAGATGGAAGGGCCGTCAAAACCGAGAGAAGCGGTTCACATTTGTTCTGGCGGTGGTCATAGGCGTGTTCGTCATTTGTTGGTTCCCGTTCTTCTTCACCTACACATTCACAGCGTTTTGTGACTGCTGTGTGCCTGAAACACTTTTTAAGTTCTTCTTCTGGTTCGGCTACTGCAACAGCTCCCTCAATCCCATTATATACACTATCTTCAATAACGACTTCCGAAGATCCTTTAAAAAGATCCTCTGCCGGAGAGATAAGAGGAGAGTGGTGTGAACGGGCTGCTGTGTTGTCCGTTTCTCTATCAAATGTAATATATCACCTGCAGTTTACGGGAAGCACTTGTTTACAGTAAGCCAACATGTTGTGTGTCATTATACAACAAGTCCAAGCGGGGCTAAAAATAAAAAAAGACTTTCACATTCTTTGTACAAATGCAACGATGCATGATTATGCAATTACAGCACAATATGTGGCAGATCTGTCCATTTCAGAAGTGTGTTGTGGCGTTTTGATATACAGTGTGTGGTGTAGTTTTACTGTGGTGTGGTTTTATCATCTGTCAGCGTGGAAATCTACGAAGACAATGCATCTCAAACCACGCTGGATGTCATTCAAAATGTGAAAAACTAAAGACAAAAGAAACTTTTGAAGAAGAAACAGTGCCAAATGAGTAAGAACTGATTGTTGGTTTGGCCTTCAAACTTAATATCGTGCTGCAAAACTGTCCAACTGCGCCTCAACGTGCATGTCGATGTCTTCTCACGGGGCCTGTTTATTCCCCTGACATGTTGTATAATTAATTGTGAAGGTGTTGATATTGTTCGTTGGACAAATTGTCTTTTCTATCCCTGCCAGTAATGGTTCATTTAAAATCTTGCTGTGGACCATTAAGTGAAACGATGTTGAGCTCGTCTGACTGGAACCCGACAGGCCGGTGTCACAACAAATTTCTCCGGCTTCAATTGTAGATTATGCTTGTCATCCTAGATATAATGGATGGATCTTTAGTACCACAACATCACAGTGATGGTTACAGCCTGCAACTAATAAACCATGTGTCAAACGGGCCGCTGGTTTAGCTGCCGAAATGGCAGAAACGCACAACAAAACTGAGTTGAATATTCAGCATGATATCAAATGACTGATGACACAGGTCAAGGTGAGGTCGGGCTCTTTTGTCTTCCCTCGGGAGGCCTGTGAAACCCAGTTGGAGTGAGATGGAATGAGTGTCTGGTCCAATTTTTGTGTGACCAAGTTAAATGATTCAAAACAAAGGTCTTGAATGACATCTACAAACTACCCGTCACTGTGCATTATAGCCATATCTGAAAACCTAATCATGATGTATGACTCACTTCGATATATTGGCTTTTTTTTCTGGTTGTGCTGGTTGTGCTCTCAACATGTTTAACCACTGAGGTCTGAAAAACTAAATGTATTTTCAACAAAGAGAGAAATCACTCTGAAAATAAAAAGTGAGGAGGCTTTCTTTGGTCTGTTATTATTCTAGAAAGAAACGGCAGATTTGGAGAACGTGGCGTAAAGGCTTCACTTCTGGAATAATAAAATCTATCCTAGACTGTGTCAAATCAGGGGTGTCCAAACCTGGGCCACTGTCCTGTGAAATTAAGCACTAACTCTGACCAAGCTGATCCACTAGAAACTTTCCTGGAGCAGGATAGAGATGGGATGTTCTTTTGTATAACTCAAGAACGATGAGTCCTCTCAGGGAGTGATTCGTTCATTCACGTATGCGCACATTTGTGCAAGTGGAGTAGAAACTTAGTTTCTTTTTCAAGACTTATATTGCGTTATATTGCGTTTGAGTCATTCGTTCATCTCGTGAAAGGCAGAAGCCAATCTTATGTAGTTAGAGCCGGAAATTTTTTTTTTATCTGTTCTTCTCCAAAGTCCTCGGTTTAAATCGTTTGTTTATCACAGGAAAGACAGAAGCCAATCATATGCTTTTAGAGGTGGAAAAATATTTGATTCGTTCAATTCTCGAGTCCTCAGGCTTGAGTCATTCGTTCATCGCGTGAAAGACAGAAGCCAATCATACGCATTTAGAGGTGGAAAAATATTTGATTCGTTCAATTCTCTAATCCTCAGGCTTGAGTCATTCGTTCATCACGTGAAAGACAGAAGCCAATCATACGCATTTAGAGGTGGAAAAATATTTGATCAAGTCAATTCTCGAATCCTCGGGCTTGAGTCATCTCTCTTTCACGTGATTAACGAACAACTCAAAAATTTAAATACTGGAAATGTGATTAAATCATGGCTCCTTTCGGCTCAGACTTCATTGTCCATTGATTAGGCTTATATGATATTATGACTTGTTTGTAGTGTGATCAACGTTTAGTGTAGTTGTAGATGAGTTTGAAAGCAACTCATTTTAATGATGTTTTTGGCAAAATCAACAAAATGACTCAAAAAAAGATTTGTTCACCTCGCTAAATGAGACTCAAAGGTCTGAGTCAGTAAAATTAACTGAAAGAGCTGAACGCATGTTGACAAAAGTGTGCTTACAGTAATGCTAAGTGTATTTGTAAATGTTGACTGGAAAAAATATTTAAATTATACACCCTTATGTAAGTGATAAAGTATATCATGCAGGTGGTTGTTATCACAGAATAAAGCCTGCCAGTTTTATGTACAAGACTGGAGGTTTTTTTCTTGCAAAAACAATCACCTGGATGTATTTTCATTCATTTTCCTCCGGCTTAGTCCCTGATTTATTAGGGGTCACCACAGCGGAATGAACCGCCAACTATTTCAGCGTATGTTTTATGCAGCAGATGCCCTTCTAGTCGCAACCTAGTACTGAGAAACATCCATACACACTCAATCTCACACACACACATACACTATGGCCAATTAAGTTTATTCAGTTTACTTCTAGCGCATGTCTTTGGACTTTGGGGGAAACCGGAGCACTTGGAGGAAACGCATACGAACAAGGAGAGAACATGCAAAATCTACACAGAAATGCCAACTGGCCCAGCCGGGACTCGAACCAGCAACCTTTTTGCTGTAAAGCAACAGTGCTAACCACTGAGCCATCGTGCCGTCCTTATATGTATTTTATCCCACTTATTAAGTGACTACTTGACACAAGATGTAAATATTGGACAAAAAACTTTGTTCTGAGCCATAATAGCTTATTAATTCTTTAAATAATGGCAAAGTTGATCGAAATGAAATGGGCTGAATGGAGTATACGCTAACCAACCAATTATTTAGTGATAGGGTGATTGAAAAGTGAGTGGAGCGACTGACCAATCAGAATCAAGTATTTCAGATATTGATAATGTACATTCAGCCGGTTGTTCTTGCTACCTACCCTACTAACCTACTTATATTATCTTTCAGTCCCAAGATGGTGGCTATTCTGAACATTGTTACTGATTATGAATATATTTAGTAATCGTCAGGTTATTCGTAGTACCCGGATAAGCCTGTGTTATTAGTTTCAGAAGTTGTTACCTGGGAATAAGATGGCTTGTATTGTTTTCAATCAAAATCAAATAGTCCAGGGGTCCATGTAATAAAATAGAAGGACATAATATTTTGGTAGCCAGATCTTTAACTGATTGTACTGTTTATTCAGGCCAAGAATCATCCTCTTAGACAAGAACAATGGTTTCACTGACATGCAAATTGATCAATCACAGTTCATTTAAATCAATTACATGCATTTGTGAGAGATAATAGAGCTCGTTAGTACAAATGCCCCCTTTGAGCAGCCCTGCTTCTGAAAGTATTTTCCCTTGATTATTAAAAAAATAAATAAAAATCAAATTATTAAAATTGATGCAAGCCATAAATCAAGCATACCAGTAACACAGAGATAAATTAAAAATGCAAATTGAATATTTTACTTTTTTTTTCCATTGAACACAAATGAATATATATTGAAGAATGTTGAAACGCCATTGACATCATATTAGGAAAAAGTAATGGAAATCAACGAGAATAAGTTTTCAACATTCTTCAAAATATCTTATGTTCAACAGAAGAAGACAAGTGGAATGCACAGACTATTCATATAAACTTAAATTTGATTGTTTTTAGAAAACATATAATACAGTAATATATTAATATTTAGGGTAAATTAAATAAACTAAAATGATTGTAGTGTATGTGTGTAAATGTGAGTGTGTAAAGATTTCCTAGTACTGGGTTGCAGCTGGAAAGGCATTCACTTTGTAATATATATATATATATATATATATATATATATATATATATATATATATATATATATATATATATATATATATATATATATATATATATATATGTTGGATTAGTTGGTGGTACATTCCACTGTGGCGACCCCTGATAAATAAAGGAATAAAGCTGAAGGAAATTGAATGAAAGAATATTAAGGGAGAATAACAGGGTTGCGGGTAATAGAATGTCATGGAAATGTAGGTTTATTCCAGACACTGAAAGTCAGGGAATTTTATATATTTTTTCTTGGTCCAAGTCATGGAATATCAGGGATTTTTGTTTTTATTGCTTTAAATTTTAGTTTCCATTAATCTAAATGTAATTTCTATACAGCATCAATATTTGTTTGCATCATGTAGTTTGACACACATTGAAATGTAATGGTCAGGTAAATTTTAACACCATATTATTCCTTTCCTGCTTGTCAGAGGGCAGTCACTTACATGTTAAAATAAAGAAAATATCTTAGGAAAATTCACATTTTGGCTACAAAATGACAACTTCAAAGACTAGGGCTCTTGTTTCTTTTAACTTTAAAAAAGGGTAAATTTTCCATTGTTGCTCTCATAATAGATATGAAATTAATAGAAATGATATTCAAGGTCAAACCATTTTAATATTACACGAAACACAACAGCTTGTTTTTTTTTCCCTCATTAAAAGCCATAGAAATTCTAAATGTCAACAAAGTAATGGAATCATCAGATTTTCAAAACTAACATTCTTAACATTGTTACTAAATATATTCATTAATGGTCAAGTTATTCGTAGTACCCAGATGAGCCCGTTTCAGAAGTTGGAATAAAATGGTATGTATTGTAATCAATCAGAATCAAATATTCCATGTAAGATCCATATAATAAAGTATAACAACACAGTAGTTTGGGATAGCCAGCCCAGATCTTTTACTGTTTATTCTGGCCAAGAATCATCCTCTTAGACAAGAACAATTGTTTTATTTTAGCTTGTTTTTTCCTCATTAAATGCCATAGATATTCTAAATGTCAATGAAGTAATGGAAATATCAATGATTTTCTCATTTGTCTAAGAGTGGGAAGAACCCTGGATTAACCATCACATAATTTCATATAGTTTATGAAAGTGGATGGAGCTAACAATTTTTTACTGCTCTATGTACTGTGACTTTTCTGTGCTGTTTTTGAGTGTAATTAATGTAAACATAGAGGGGTTCGACAATATATATTAACCTCAGAGCACTACATGTGCTTTTACCTATATAAAGAACTGAACATTCCTTCTGGTTAGGATAACATTTTTGAAACATTCTCTCTTACCAAATAAAACAACAAAAAAAAACAAGCTTGTTTGGTCATATTTTTGAAGCCTCCTTTCTTAGTTCCCAAAGAAATCACCAAATGGAAGCCATCTGGGAACATTAGGAGAACATTCTGTGTTTGCTGGGAATAAAATGATTGAAGCACTGTTGGTCTCTATATTTCATTAACTTTCTAATTAATAGAATTTCTGATAATCACATGTAACTTCCCAAACCCCTGGAGTTTTTAACATATAATGAACAAACTGGGGAAAAGGCTGTTATCCATCAGTGATTATCTTGTCAACTTAAATTATTTTTCTTGTCTCAGTACAATTTGACTTTAATATATCAGTCGAGAGTTAACCTCAGAAATCTGCTTAATTTTATGGCCCTGTTTGCTGGGATTATTTAAATAAATTTTCACCCTCTAGACCACAGGTGTCAAACTCAGTTCCAAAAGGGCCGCAGCTCTGCACAGTTTAGTTCCAACCCTAATTAAACACACCTGATCAAACTAATTGAGTCTTTCAGGCTTGTTTGAAACCTACAGGTAAGTGTGTTGGAGCAGGGTTGGAACTAAACTTTGCAGGGCTTCGGCCCTCCAGGAATTGAGTTTGACACCCCTGCTCTAGACCAAACTCAGGCCAGCATTTAACAAATAGTATAAAACACTGGTTTATTCTCCAGCGGTGCAGCAATACATTTAAGCACAGGAGAAAATGTACTGAGACCTTCATAATTATGATGGATCATGATAATTCCACCTCATGATGATCATCGTTAAGTCGTCAAGACAGCGGGTGATAATTACGAAGTTAAAAATAAGCTCGGACCTGTCACTTCTGGATCCTTTAGGAACTTAACATGCATTAAAGAGAGACTGAGGTAAAGTTAGTAAAATTCGGTCTGACTGCATGTAGTTAACAAGATTACCATTTAACAATGTTGTACTTTGATAGACCTATTTAGA